TCTGCACACGTAAAAGCTGGAAAGACGCGCTTCTCACTGTCATCGATTTTTCTCGTCTTCTCTGCACCCTTCGTCAATCGAAGAAGAATGCGTCGGCGGACGCAGCGCAGCGTACTATGCGCCGTTTATTGTAGAAGTGGAGACCCCACGCGAGCCGCTGTCGCCCAACGTCCGATGGGGCGGCACCCGCCGGGAATCACCATCCCTGTGCTCGCCGCGCAGCGTTCAGGCCTCCGCCGACATAGGCCCTGGCCCGCGTAGGCGAGAAGCGGAGCACCGGAGACCGACAACGGCGTTCGCTTCTCGGCGGGTGTTCGCCCCCTCGCGCGGGCGGCGAGCCGGACGCCCAATTTTTCCTTGGCCAGGTGAGGTCAATAGCGACATACGTTGCAAAGCTTTCGATTGATATGGTAGTTCTTTACGCCGTCCACAAGTATGCTGTGCGGCCGTAAGTCGCGTGGCCGTCGCTATTCCGTAGTAACCGACGAGCAAAACGAAACGGCAAGACAGTGCTTTACGATGACCAACTGTGGTGACAGACAATATAATATATCACTGTGTGAGAGTGCGCGCAAGCGGTGAAGGCAAACGCTGCGACGTGTGTTCGCTTCGTCGCGCAAGCGGCGCGGCCAACGCTGCGAGCGTCGCTCCATTTTTGGGTTCGCTGCCCCGAAAGCGGGGCGGCGTCGTTGACCGCTCTCCACACTATGCAGGCAGTTGTGCAACTGAGGAAAGCCTACAGCCGCGCGTCTGACGCAAACGTTGGTTACGTGTACATACATCCTATGTTCCTTAACAAAAAAAAACGACGTGTAAAGATGTAATATTTACCTGTGCTGAATAATTTTATTATTTTTTATTTTTATTTTTTTTATTTTATTTTATACATTTGAAAAAATAATAAAATTATTTAGCACAGGTAAATATTACATCTTACACGTCGTTTTTTTCAGTTCGCAACATGTGTATTCTTCTGCTACATTGTCATCGTAATAGCCACGTTTGCTCTTTTCGTTCTGTTTTACTCGGATACGACGGACGGCTTCACAGCTCACAGCATACTTGTGTACGCTGTAAAGAACTACCATATCAATCGAAATCTTGCAGAAATTGTAGACTCACTGCAAGAAAATGTGAGTTCCAGTTCGTTCAGAATTCTTGTGATTGTTTGGCTTCAGTGATGACCTTACCTTCCATCTCTTTCAGTCCATTCTAGAGATTACGCTGTCCAGAAGTTCAGAATAATGAAAAATCAAAAGGAAACAGGCATAACGATTTAAAAAAAGAACTCGATAAATTAGAAATGGTGTGGTAGATAAATACAATGTTATCGAAGACGTCATCACAACTTCACCCCAGCCATGGTGTTCACAGCCTTCAGCAGATCAGTGTGCACCATGGCTCTACCCATCTGTGGATTGAGCCAAACAAGTGCGCGGCTCCATATATAGTAATGATGTATCCCGCCTTTATGGACTAGACTCGGAGATCAGAATGAGGAGAAACTTCCAGTAGTTCTTTTTTTCACGGGCTTGTATTATGTTAAGGTACTGGTTTATGTGTAGAAAATTGAGCTTAGGTAGATTACCATCTCTATCTAATTTTTTGATCCTTTCAGTTGAAATGTTGTGGTGTATCGTCAACGGCTCAAGGCTATCGGGATTGGAATCTGAGTTATCAGTTCAATTGCAGTGCATCAAATCCGCAACCGGAGAAATGCAGCGTACCATTCTCATGTTGCCGAAAATCCGTGATTTCAGAAGCGGTAAGTTAACGCTGGTCTCCTAAAACAAGCAACTCCCTTGGATTCGCATTTAACCTTGTCAAGTCGAATAATGAGCATTGATCGATTCTTGCCCCAAAGTCCTAACAAGCGTGCCAAAATTTCATCTTTTTACTGTTCTGGTGGGAGTGGAGTTGGGAGCCTTTGATTCGATGAAACTGAATCATTCGCGCCCGCCTCTATCAAGTGCTGAAGTTGTGATTCGTAATGATGAAACTAGAGCAAGTCTTCAGTCGGAAAAGAAAGGTCCGTAAATCACACTGATTCGTTGAGATGGGTGAATTGTATGGCATTTAGTCCTTTTGATGCGTGGCTTGATCGCGACCAGGGGTGAGGGGGAAGGGGCGGGGGTATAGGGTTGACACGCACCTAAGTAATATTTTTTCATGAAATTTAAACAAGTGACTCTTTTTGCCCCCTTCCCTACCCGGAATTTTTGACTTAGAGCGAGGGATTACGAATTACGATAAAGACTGTGTGCGGCGTTGAGGTATATGTACCAGTGGAATCAGTAGCCAGGAGCCGAAGGAAACAAGAGTGGCCTTTTCATGGTCAAGGTGCGCTAGTTGCAGCGCTCTGGAGTTGCCAATCCTTTCTGATCCGAATTTAAAATTCTCCGGCTGCGCTGGGCCCGTCAGTGTCTTCCAGCATCATCATTGCTCGGCGATCATTTTGATAAGGTATTCCGCTACGTTCGCAGATCCTATAGCTTTCCCATGGAATGCGTTATCAATCAAAGCATGGTTTTCGTTGGCAGAATGGTGGCCGTCGGGTTGAACATGCAAGCGACGCCTCCGTTAGTTACTGGCTCGTCCATACCATCACCGAGCAAATGAGGATTTCCCATTGTCCTTGACGGATTTCTTTGCTTTTTTCGCCACTGGCGCCCCACTTCCACTGTGAATCCAACCCAATCTTATCACAATGCCTCGCTTTACATGAATCAAAAACATTATCAAATGTATGTTAAAATTCTTCCTAGCCATTTTGCCGTCAAAAGCAAAATGGCAAACCCGTCAAGGACATGTCCTACAAATCCTTAGTTGGGAGTCCTCGCCCTTCGCCTTAATAATTTTGCAAGAGAATCGCTAAGCAAGTTGGCAAGGTAGATTGCAGACTAACATTCCAAAACACACACAGGTTCAAGCGTCTTGTAATGAATGTCACTGACGACCGGCAGGCTTTTGCTTTTTTGTGGAGTGCGCAAGCCTGCGAACCTAACGGCTTCATTCGCCTTTGGGATGGTTGTGATCGGCTAACGGGCTTATTAATGAAACAGTGAGGAAGTATGGAAGTTCCACTGCAGAAATATCGCCAAATTCGGAATACATGGTCGAGTCCAACCGCTTTAAGGAATCAGGAGAATGTCGTCCGAGTGTGTAGACCATCCCCGCAACCTTTATTGTTCATCAGAAGTGGGCGCCAGGGCACGGAGCCCGAAGCTTGAGCGATCTCGGTAGTGGCCCACTCAGCACGGTCAAAATCTAGTACCAGGCAGCTTGGAACCGCCTTGGTGCACAATGTGTAAAGGGTGACAAGATTGCATTCAGAGCCCTAGCACAACCCATCCATCATAATTCTTGTGGCGTTCAAGGGTGAGTGTATATATTATAAGTGTGCTCACCTGTGAATTTCGCTGAAGGGGTGCAAAAAGAAGGGAAAACTCGCTTCAGAGCTCGAGGCTTCCTTGTGCTGGCGAATTTATTCTCGCGTCCAGTATTAGTTGTTTGTAGATCCCACATAACTACCGTGTGTCTCCAACGATATCAATTTTTCAGGCTGGCTCGTCTGATTCTCTACTGCCTGCCATGCGTTCGTTAGAATGCTGGCAAAATACGTTGAATAAACGACCACAAGATCTCGAACATGATATTTACACTCGCGGTTGTCTCCAACCTCTCCGAAATGTTTTTGAGTCAAACGCCACTCATATTGCGTTCGCAGTCACGGTCATAGTTGTTCCAGTGGTACGTTCATTACTTGCTTGACTTTCATAATCTGTTAGGAGCATGCGTTGCCCTTCTGTTTGAAGTCAAAGTCTGGGATGGAACTGATGTAATAATAGAAAAAAAACGAGAAGAAACCGACGACGGATGGTACTTTTTTGTTACTGGTTTATTTACCGAAATACTGTCCCTCAAATGGCGTTGGTTTGTGGGTGGGGTACATGGTGGCAGTTGATGGGTATGGTAAATCCCTAGGTCCTAAGCCCCTCAGCCTTGTCAAAAGCAACCTTCGGGATAAAATGGGTGTGGAAAAGCGTTAGTTATGAATCTAGGGGTGGGAGGTGTCCTGGAAAAACTAAAGAAAGCATCGGAAACCCATCACGCATTGAATAAAAACCTCTACTCTTTTAGCCGCAATCAACTTTGGGGCAGAGGAGGGACGTGTTGGACGAATCCACGAACCTAGATCCGGTTGCTCCAGTGCCAATGACATTGCGCCCAGTTGCTGCCGCAAGTGCGCCCGCATTTCTCGAACAGCGTCACGTAGCAACAAACATCGGAAGGCGGGGCTTGCGGACAAAGGGTGAGTTGGGGGTTGGACGAGCTTCTAGTGACCTTAACGCATACTTTAAAGTCGCAAAAGAGGTGCGTCATCAGCCCCTGTCCGCCTGTCTACTGCCCCCGGGGATGGAACAGGTGAGCTTGAACAATACCGGAGCGTGCCCTTAAGTCGGCGTGAGTCCCAGTGGGTTCATGTGCTGCTTTTGAATACTATTTCACTCCCTATTTCTGGTGCAAGAGCCATTGCGTTAAGAAATTCCCGACTTGCAATTGAAGCCTAAGAGAAAAACGTATCAGTATACAATAATTCAAGCTGGTATAAGTTAGGGGTACCGGAAGGAGGCTCGTCGAGAAGGCAGAGACACAGGCGTGTCAGCGGACGAGTCGTTTCGTTTACGGTAACCAGGTAACGTCAAGGCAAATAGGATGTACCAAAGTACGTTCCACATTGCACAACACCGCTGCGACTTGTGTGCTAACCCGTCTGCGTCCCTGTTTTTGCGCCGCCCGATGGACGTCTTGTCGGGTGGCTTAAGTTAGAAAATCTGCGAATAAGGGTTACACAATGCTGTATCACAAATACGATCCTGAATGACATTCGTCATAATGTCATAGAGCAACAGAGGGAATGAGAGAATGTAGCCTGAATCTGAATGTCTTCTGCACCGTCTCATTCACGTTTGAGAAGATTTACAAATTCTTATTTGTCTCTCGCGCTAATAAGATTACACTGAATTCCAGTGCATATCCATTTGTCTCACGAATGTGCTGGCAAGGCAAATCAATCACCAACGAATTTTACTGGAAAGAGAAGCAAGACGCAAAGAGCGGCAGCAGAAACGCGAATGCCGTCGTGGAAGAACTCGAACCAATGGTCGACACAAGGACGGAAAAACCTCCGATTATGAACCAGTGAGTGAGCTCTGGCTCCACTTATCTGTTTTCTGATTTTGTTTGGCCAGCGACAATATGACCTTGAAAGATACTGCAGTTTGAGGCTGAGCATGGGTAGTGTTCGTTCCTCTATCAGTAAATCAGGCGCTAAATCTAAATTCACTCATAGTTCCTGCCCAAAAAAAGCATTTATTGTGAAAATGTGATGCAACTTCTACTTGATTAACCTTGGTGTCGCCTCACCCTGATTATTTTTACTTCATTCCGCCAGCGAACATTTGAAACAAAGTCTGTCGACCAACAAAGGACTTCCACTTGCGTTTTTTTTCGTTTTTTGTTTGAAAAAAGGGGATGTGTGTTGTATGTATTTATTCGCAAGTACGATTTCATTAACTTTTCTTGCTAGACGTTGCATCAGGTAAGCGCACTCTTCCACTTTCTGTAGCAAACGTAGCATTTGATTGAGTTACTTTTCTGGGCTTACTTAAAGGCAAAGTTTGGGCTCAGACCCACTTAATAAGCCCTTAACCTGGCTAGAAGTCCTAGGCACGCAAGTGCAAAGTTAGCGCCACCTTTCTACACCGAAACCCGTCGCCAGGACCCTAGGCTATGAGTTTCTAATAGACTCCAACACACATAGCATGGTCCGCCCTCCGATCGTAGTCTTGTCTGCGTCGCTGCGTTGATCTGCTATGCTCTCTCTCTTCTCGGAATTCTCTACCACTCTCTGCGCTCACTATCTCTCGTCTTCCCCCCTGTCTTTTGAACTTCTCCAGAGCACTGAGCAAAATACTCGTGTTTCCTGTGCATGTCAGGATTTCTTTCCTTTTTTCTCCATTGGCGGTCCACCTCTCATCCCTACTTTCACATTTGAGTGGAATCAACCCACTAATGTAATCCTGATTCTTGCCTCTAAAGATACTGTTTTCAGAAAGAGGCGATAGACTCATCAAAGGGCTCATTGGTTGCTTCATCCAAACTGCCAGTGGAGCAGTCGACGAAATTGGAACCACAGCAATAGAACAGTTTTGCCTCAGTTACAATTCGCCGTAGTCAGCTCAGTTTGAAGATGAAGAAATGAGATCAGTGGTGGCAGTGCTCAATAATCAGAATTAAACAGTTCAATTACAGGTAGTTCTACAGTTACATCTGCATGCATTTGAAACGGAGCTTATACATTTTGTCACCGTTATAACTGTGTTCCTTTATAAGCTCTGGAGAACACTACATTTGGCTCTTTCAGCAATTTATTGTTCATATACGATTGCTATGTTTGGTCTGTCACTTATCATTAATAAATAGTTTCGAGAATTTTGGTTCTTTGCTATCATCTTAATTTGTACGTACTGACAACTTTTCTGAAAAATCTAGTTTCTTACTGAAATAACAGAACCTGTGGAAGACTTCGATTTTCATCCGAGCACGAACTACGTCATATCCAGAACCGCTTTCCAGTTGCACCACGTTAGCCAGCCAATCGGGCTCGAGTCTCCGCCTTTGACATCAAGAAGAATCTTCTGGGTAACTGTCATCTTTACACCAAGTATTGTGGAGGAGTCCATGATAAAGGCTCCATGTTTGAGTGAGCACCACAAAATAGCTCATCTCGAATTCGCTCGGAGAGATGAGAACGAAGTGGGATTCAACAGGTGATTATACAGGGCCATTAAAGTGACTGGTTAGGGTCATTTTAAATTTGGGTTAACTTTCCCGATAGGAATAAGTCTAATCGAGAAGGGCCGAATTGGCATCACAGTTGATGGAGGCATATTAGAAACGTGCCACTGCTTTTCTGTGCTGTCGAGACATTGCGATACCGTCTGGATGCTGTTCTTGTGTAGAAAGCTCAAATCGTCCAGTCACATCAATAAGGTAGTATGCTTTCACAGCATTTCCACAGAATCGCGATGAATTGGCAGTGAAAAAAATTCTATTGTTGATGTCATCCTCAATAAGATGCCTTTATACTGAAACAAAAGACATTTTCAAATTTTCTCATAAACAGGTTTGCTGCTTATATTTCGTTCTGTAATAAAATCACCCAGAGGCTCAGAGTACGCTGAATTTGACCAATGTGGTTGCCAGTCGTCGAGCCTCTATCTTAACACGTTGACGACATCGCGCGTTTTGGGTTTTTGTACGGCGTGGGACAAGGGCGCTTCTCCGAGCGCGGCCGTCACATCTCAAGCTCTCGTAACTTTGATAAGCTTCAAAGGTACGAAATCATTTCAGCAATATTCTATGCATAGAAATTAATCAAAGATTTAGTAGCGAAACCCAATCAAAAAAAAACGTGATTTTGAAAGAAAGAAAACTGGAATTCAAGTCCTTTTCTCTGTAGTGAATGCCGAAACTATTTTCGATGTGGATTTGTCAATTGAAACATATATCTTTCTATCCCTTTGAGCATGTATTTACTTTCACTATCATTTCTTACTGACATGCTCATCAGAATGGGAAGAAAACGAGGGAAGAGCCGAGCTGCCAATTCCGCTGTGCTTAAAGCAACAATCCAGGAACGAATTCGCGGGTAAGGACCACCTATAATGACGTTGCCGGTGAGAAGTTGTCAATGGAGAAAGAAAAAGTAGAAAAAAACGTAGGGAAGGGCTCAGACAGGGACTCCCCTGCCGTTTAGGAGGACGTGTGTTGGACGAGTTGTCCGAACCTGCCCGTAGTACATGCGCTCCACTGCAACTGCTGGCAAATAGCCTTGCATGCTTGCAAATACATAACTATTTGTCAGCAATCGAAATTGCGTTCTTATGGAATCGACCTCATACAGCGCGGCGGTCCCGCCCCGAACGCCAGTTGAGGAAGCGCTGTGCACAGCTGCTTGGAGGTGGCCCCACCACGGATTGGTGGATCCGCCCCTCTTGAAGGATTTTGACTGCTTCCAACACCTTTCAGAGGTAAGTTTTGAAGTTTGTGACATTTCCCATAAACTCCAATCAGGCTGAGGCATGTTTCCACCACTTGAAAACCAAATGGTTGAAACCCTGCCTGGACTTTTGCTTTAACCCATTGCGGACCGCCGTCATAATTGCACCTCCGTATGTTTTTGTCATCTGTTTAATCATTGGCCACGACCTATCAAACATCTAACCAGTATGCCAATAAGTGATGTAAACTGTGTCCAAAAAAGTAAACTGATGAAATTGTAACTTTAAAAAATGCTGAAAAAAATCAAAGATTACTGTCCTTTTCCGCGTGGTGGCGTGCTACACCATGTGCAGCACGCGGACGGCAATGGTTTAAAAAACTTCTGCTAAACTGGAGCATATTTGATCATACCGTGACCCATGTCGTTTACAGTTATGTTAAGTTGTAATCCATAGAATAGAGGGCAAATTGGGAAGAATCCTCGCATATGCTATAAAAAGGGATGAAAAGGGTGAGATGTGCAGCCGCGTCTCAATGTCCAACGAGTTGCGCAAAGTGAGACGCGTTACTGCGTCACAATTCCGTCAAGGTGTTTTCGGAGAATGGCTGTTTTCAGGAGTACCTTGATACGTTTGAAACGCGTCGTATATCCGATTTCAGACTTGGCGAATCGCGGGAATCGCTACCAGCGATTCGTGCGATTCGCCAGCGTCCGCGGTTGCGTTGCGGTATCAGCCAATCGAGCGCTTCACTGGCCGCGACGCGACCGCAGACGCTAGCGAATCGAGCGATTCGCAAAGTCTGACATCGGCCTATATTGGCGCCAGGTCCGCTGAACATACCAGAAGGGTTGTGTCGTTCGATGAGAAGATTTGAAAAGTTTACGGGACATTTTTCATAATTCGTGGACTTCGCCTTCATTGGCGCGCTTTCTGGGTTTATAAAAGCAGTAGCAGTTGACCATGCTCCCAGTAAAGGCTATAATCACTGTGAGTAGTACGGTAGTGAAAGCTATAATCACTGCGGAATGCTCTAAAGAAAGATTCATCACTTCGTTCTTGGTAAATTTTTGGCTGCTGGAAAGACTGGCTCGTAGACAAAATTTGGTCACTGCAAAATTCAACTTCTGCTCACAGTGTAGAAAACGTCGTAGCATCCAGAACTAAGGACTTTGAATAATGTTCTCTTCAGTGTCTATGTTTCCGAAAATTCATGAAAATTGTAAAATTTGGGAGCCTTCAATACGTCTCCTAATACTCATTGATTGGGGCTTTGCATACAGGGTAAACATGCTGTCAGCGCCATAGAAAAGTGTCTGAAGAGGTGTGCTCATAATACCCTCCAAACACGCACGCGATAAACTAATCTGGGCTTAGACGCTTCGTCTACGATAAAAGGCTGGGACTCAGCAGCATTCACAGAGATATCTATAATGGGTTGAGCCGTTGGCTTTGCACGTCACGCTATTTTATGGCAAGAGCTCTGCCGATGCATTATCAACCGGATTTGATGCGTGGGATGCGAAACGAGCACCTGATAACCCATTGATCAGATTTCTACGTGGAAGCTGTGAGCAAACGATACAAAGAACTTTGTGCTCATTGAGGAGCTATAATCCATGGTGCTACATTCCTTAGCAAGATGTAGGATGAACGGAAGCGGCACAGGCGTCTGCCAGAGATCGCGGTGAGCTATGGAATCAGAGGCCACACTCATCTACTTATAACTTCCTTTCCTCACCAGAAATATAGAGCTGTTTTCGGAATCAGCAACATTTTTATTTATTCGGAAACCGTGGCATTTGGGGGTGCAAAATTGAATTCAGATGGTATGAGATCAGTGTCTACCCCACCTATGTACGTAGCAGTCTTAGCGGATTCCCATGCTTTGGGGCGATAGTTGCTACTGGATGTTAGGCCGTGGTTCGAGAATAATGTGGTGGAGAGATATCCATTTGCGGATCCCTACCAACGTTTTTTGTTGCTAGGAAGAAATATGAGTGTTGCTGCAGCGCTTTTGTTGACATTGGAGTGCGTGATCTTCTTAACCAGAGATTGAAAATCGCACTCGTTTTCGAACCAGTATAACTTGATCAAATTATCAAAGGTTCTCTGGAATAGTCTGAATTTAAAAAAGCCCCTCCGTGGGAAAACGCATGTGTAATGCAGTAGTAACGGCGTCATAGTTCGCGAACAACCGCGCAATTCGCGCAAATCGCAAATGTGCGGATGACCTGATCAATACTGCGGATATTGTTGATTTCCTTCTCTTGTCTTAGCGAAAACCAGTGATGTTAATGTGTCACTATTGTGGTGGAATCGGCAAAATAAGGAATATCTGTCCGGTCATGTTCGAGGAAAGCCATACAGTGCGGATGTATGACATTTGTACAGCGAACTCTTGTGAGATTACACGTCTACGGTATTTGGAATGGTAGCCACTAAAAAGAAAAAAACAGAATAGAATCATGGACATGCAAGATTATGAACAGTCGTCATTTAATCATCCTGCAAAAATGGCAGCAACACTTCGCAGTATTGGTCGGAGCACATGCGGTTTATGCGACTCGCGCGATGGATTGCACCAGCTGGTGTCGGAGTCCACAACCCGCCACGCGATTAGCGTGAATCGCAATTCGCAAGTACCCCGTTTGAGCTTTTGAAACACTGAATATGTGGCAAGTGTTATAGAATTATGAACAGTTTTCATACAACCATCACTATCAAGCAGAAATGATGGCGGCATTAGGCCGATGTCAGACTTTGCGAATCGCGCGATTAGCTTGCGTCTGCAGTCGCGTCGCGGCCAGTGAATCACTCAATTGGCTGGTGCCGCAACGCGACTGCGGACGCTAGCGAATGGCGCGATTCGCAAAGTTTGACATCGGCCTTAGAGAGCACCACGCAGCAGCGACGACGCTGGTGATTTCTGTGATCAGTTGCGGCTTAGCGCGATACGATGGACTCTGACACCAGCCTAAGCTGTGAACCACCTGGCAAGAATGTGATGTTTATGTAGGTGGTCTGCGACATGGTTTATCCCCTCGCTTTTTTGCAGAAAAAGTCTGTGCCAACTGCTACGCATCCTCACCAACATTTTTCCAGGACAGTAGGCTCAATGCTGCTTACAGTTCGCCTATAAACAAGCGCTTTCAAGCGAGCTCGAAGCTTCTATTGTTCCCAAGTGGAATTCGGGCTAAGCCTTTACTATGTTCAGCCCAGCTGTTCGGATTTGTTGATCTTCCTACGGGAACCGACGGAAAAGCAATGTTCTCCTACCGCTGGAAGCGGCGCTGAAGTTGGCGCTTCGATGATCGTTGCACCAGGTTGTTTTTTGGAATTAATTTTTTACCAGTTATTTCATAGGTAATCTTCACGATCATGTGTACTTGTTCTACCCAGAAGAATTATCTATACGCTACAGCGAAAGCTGACATACTGAGGGTGAAGCGTCATAGTATGAAAGACACTCTTCTCAAATTTTGCCCTTATACCTTTGTTGATATGGCTCTTTTGCCCCGAAAGGCCGCATAGATGCAGCAGCCCAGGCCAAAAGTGTTCGTCGGAGGGTTTTTCGTGCTTCTCTTTTTTTTTGCTAGAAAAAAAATCAATGATGACCTCGAAGAAATTTTCTTTTGAGCATCCTGATTCTTTAAGGCTTGAGGATATAAAAACACTAGAAAACATAGTAAATCAATCTTGGAGGACGTTGCTAAAGCTAGAAAAAATAATGCACTGCAAATCGTTTCGGTGAACACTTTTGACCGCCGCTGTATGTATGTTTATTTGATCTCTCCACTACCCATCTTTCTTTGTCACAAACATGGATTTTTTCACGATACGTTTTCAGCTTAGGCTTACTAGTCCTACTATGCAAAGAAAAGGCAACTGTCACATTAGTGTGGATTTCATTGCTTTTGCAACGTGATGCAAACCGAAATAAAGTTCTACTAAGTTAAGAGCATATAACTAACATCAAGACTTTGTTGACATCGAAATGTTGATTGCAAAATACCAATATGTGATCTTGAATAACGAGAAATGCTCAGAACCCTAGGCCATATCCAATGTAACGTCGTACAGTTCCAACCATCTTGAAGCGTCATCCTCTTGAAGGCATCACGGGATGATTTCTTCAAGGACACTGCATATTTCTTTCGCATTGGCCTGAAAAATAGTCTTTCAAAGAAAGTAAGAAAGTGATTGAATGGAAAAAATGCATTTTGAAGGGGAAACAACAACGAAGAGGTAGGCTTCTGGGCCGTATGTGCCAATTACCGGAAGCTTGCCATGAATTGAAATGGTGGTAATATCCTCCTTCAGTGCTCATTTACTTTATCTTTATAACTCGAATATTATAACTCGAATCAGTACTCTCCTCCGAATTCCGACACGCCATCAACTCGGTGAAGAATCGTACAGCACCCGGTCTCGACAAGGTCAAACCGGAACATCTGAAGGATGCGCCGCCAGTTATCATCAAAACTCTGGCTCGACTCTTCACGCGCTACCTGTCGGAATGCAAGGTACCCACTCCGTGGAAAACCAGCAGGAACGTGTTGCTGTACAAGAAGGGAGACCTGGACTACATTGGCAACTATCGCCCAATCTGCCTGCTGTCTGTAATCTACAAGCTATTCACTCGAGTCATCCTCAACAGGATCGGCAGAATACTAGATGAAGGGCAGCCATGGAGCAAGCAGGGTTTCGAAGAGGGTTCAGCACGATCGGCCATATCCATACGGTTACGAGACTCGTTGAAGTTTCGCGGGAGTACAATATGTCGCTTTGTCTCACGTTCATCGACTTGAAGAAGGCCTTCGACTCTGTGGAGACAGAAGTGGTCATCGAAGCCTTGGGCAACCAGGCGTCCCCACTCAGTACATCAAGATTCTTCGTGAGCTCTACAGCAACTTTACGACCAGAATCTCACCATTCTACAAGGAGGTCATCACCGACGTCAAGAGAGGGGTTCGACAGGGTGACACCATCTCGCCCAAACTCTTCAGCGCCGCTCTCGAGAACGTCATGCGTCAACTGGAATGGGAAGACAGGGGAGGGTCGACGGCCGACAACTACACCACCTTCGTTTTGCTGACGACATCGTTCTTATAACGCCGAACATCGAGCAAGCGGAGCGAATGCTGGCTGATTTCGACTGCGCCTGTGGTAAGGTTGGTCTACAGCTGAATCTAACGAAGACGATGTTCATGAGAAACGGATTGATTCCTGATGCCCCATTCACGCTCAAAAGAACGAACATCACCGAGTGCTCCAGCTACGTGTACGTATGTAGGTCGGGAAATCAATATGATGAACAGTCTAGCTCCAGAGCTGAGCAGGAGGAAACGAGCGGCTTGGGGAGCGGGGAGCGTATAAGAACACCAAGGGAGTAGTGAAGAAGACGAAGAACATTCGGCTCCGTGCCCACCTCCTCGATTCCGCTGTCCTTCCTGCCCTAACCTACGCCTCAGAGACCTGGACTCTGCGCAGGCAGGACGAGCATGCGGTCAGCGTTATCCAACGCGCTGTCGAGAGGACGGCTAGGAGTTACCCTATACACGTAAGTGCAGAGGGGAATCCGGAGTGCTGAACTACGCCAACGATAGATCAGAGACGCTGCCGTTTTCGCCAAGGAATCGAAGATAAGGTGGGCCGGACACGTCATGCGATTTTGCGATGACCGTTGGACCAGAGCGGTTACCGACTGGATCTATCGGGACGTCAAACGAATACCTAGACCACCGTCGGCCCGATGGCCAGACTTCTTCACGAAAGCTCTGAACGAAAGGAATGAAGGAGATCGTGAGGGTCCACTGGACAACTATTGCACGCGACAGAGTCGAATGGAGACGTTGCTGGCACCCGCTCGAGCAATTCGATGATCAACGGGACGACAGGTGATACAGGTGAACTCGAATATTTCCAGTCACCGCGAACATGCTTCATTTGAAACTTAATGAATGATCATCATCGGTCTTTAGCGGCTTTAGCCGCCTAAGTAACGTTTGTAGGAGCGCGCGAAGTGTTCAAGCTTTGCAATGCACCAGTATAAAGACGGTTGCGATGTTCAATGAGCACGCTAAGCCCTCCAAAGCATTCCCGGTCAAACCGGCATGGTTGCCTCCCTCCTCGAAAAAGAATGTAGTGGTACGACGAGGATGACAGCGAAGAAACATAGATGACAAACCAGCGGAAGCGCTCAAACTAGGGGCCCCGCCAGGGTCAACCGTCACGTTGGATCGGTTCCGAAAATTTTACGAACCTTCCCCTCCCCCCCCCTTCTAAAGGGACTCGATACGACCCCCTCACGACCCATCATCATGGAGGCAGTGATTCCAATGATTCTATAGCATTTGTTCTGAGATCACTCGGCACAGCCCGACTCCGCGCACTTCTTCCTCCAAAATTGACGTCGAGCGGGGGAGGGTATATACAAAATTTTCGCACTCAAAATTCCAGCCAACAACCGAATACGCTCCCTTTCATAAAAAACATACTTTCCCTCACTCTAACATTGGCGCTACCTCGCGAAATACAACCCGCCCCCCGCTCTCTATATCCCACATACGACCCCCCATCCCCTCGTTGGACTTTGTCCAACTGACGATTGACCATGGGCCTCGGTTCTCTCAGTACGAGCATAAGCCGGTTTGGTTACGTTATTTCCGGAGCCCGGAGCGAGACCTCGTGTAGTTGGAGTACTTGGAGCCCGTGTTTTTTTTAGAGCGGAAGCTATCTCAGGGTACTTCTGCAAAAGTGCAAGCCGCCATCTCGCCATCGGAGCGAGATCCATGACACGGACTTTGCGCCCCCAGTACCAACGTCTGAACATCAAGTGGATTTTGGTGTGCCGCTCCACTTTCAGGAATTTATATCCTTATTTAGCTTTCCCAAGAATTTTGCGCGACGAAGTGAGAAAAGTCTATTATGTATCCGTGCAGAACATTCTACCTATCGGGATAGGTGTTCACTCCAGTGATATGACCTGAGGATGATTTAACCCATTTATGGCAACGCGCCCTAAAGGTGTTTCGCATGTGGCCCCGCGCACACGTTCCAGGAGATGAGGCTGTTGCCCATCGATGAGCCATACAATCCCACAAGATCCTATTACTGCTTCACTACCTATTTTTGGATCTCTTTGTATAAAAAATGATGTCATTTAGTTTTATGGTATTACGGGATCTGAGGATTGCGATGTTTTCGCTTTGGATGAATTATTTTGAGATTTGTTTGTGGATTTTGATGCTGAGGAACGTGTGGACGTGTGCAGTGAATCACTCGAAAAAAGTAAGCTACCACATGGTGTAGCTCATCACAAATACTGCTTTATATAGTGCTTTCGAAGTTATCACAGGATAAGTGCGTGAATATTGCATTGATGATGTTCACATTCGTTCTTATTTACATCCCTGTGTGAAGTACATCTTTTTTGTTTATGTTATAGTCACAAGTAAGCAATTCCTGGACCACTGTGAATGTAGCTTTGTTATATGGTGGCACACTTATCCTATGCTTAGTTCCAAATAATGTGGAAGTGGGCGCAAGGAGCAACCATTGCCGTGGCTCACCGGCAGGCCATACTGTCCCACGCAACCGGTTTGCTGTGGTTCGCCGGAGAGCCACACGGTCGCCAATGAGTTGGAGACAGTGATCGCGATGGAGTTAGTGTGGGGAGGATTTGATTACATCATTGAGCGATCAACGGACAATCAAAAGCGCAGCGCCCTCCACTCATCTCTGATTTGAAAATTTGAAAACAGGATAAGCTTATAAGGCAATTGAGTGCGTTTTGCGATGATAGCGCCCCTGAACCTCCATCCAAAAGTGGTCCTGCCCAGTGTTGCTCACGGCGAAACCCCAGCAACCATTCTCCAGAGACCAGCGATTTGTTGCAAATAGTCACGCCGGAGTCACAGCCAACCACTTGTTGATAATTTACCAAAGGAGGGGTCATATTGGATCCAAAGAGAGGCGTCGTGAGCAAGTGCAAAGCACCAAGCACTTTTTTGGCCCATTTGTATTCAACTATGAGACAATCCTAAACGGGACATGAATGCTCACCACTTGTGCAGCACAGGTTCCTCGCCATGCAGATTCCTGCGACTCCTTCAACCTGAAAGAGAAAAAATTACCTTACTGACTATTTCTAGTTTAGTTAGTTGTTTAGTGTAGTTTAAAGTAAGGTATTTGGGATGGTGACAATGTGACCATTTTACAAAATGCGCAGCCTGAAGCCTGAAGTGATACGACGATCTTTTATCATTACATATTACACGATATGGCGCGAAGTACACCTCGTTAACAAGTATCCTGAGTATTCTTCTGAGGAGGTATGCAAGGGTTTTCCGAGAGTTTCGGCCCAAACGTCATTGCTTGGTCACTTTGATGACAGTGCGATGTGCTTCATACCGCAAGCTTCACTCTTCTAAATCTCTTTTGAGTGATCAATTTGGTAACGCTGACGCCACACGCAGGATTAACCGTTGCGTTGTGGCATATTCTAGGTTTCTACGACGCTCTCCCCCTCCCCCAGCATTCCATCCATCGGTCGATGGTTTTTCAGCATCACTCGTGATCACTTGAAATCTCCAGTCCGCTCCAGAGCGGGCTCTTATATGCGGAATCATGCTGCACGCATGACACAGAAGGGCTGGTAAAGAATGCAAAGCTCCCGTGACGATTCCTTCATACCCATTCATGGTCCCATCTACTAACAAACTTGCACCCTTACTGCGCTTGGACAGAATGTTGAGAGAGGGATACTACGGCTCTATATGACTACTTCGGCTGCTCGTATGATTTTTTGGTCTTCTGACTACCTTTTCCCCTGTAACTAAAGTGACGAATGGTAACCGCTGATAAGTGAACTCACTCTGCAAAAATTTTCTGGACAAGAAGAGCCCGTCCAGCAGGCGTCGGACGGAAAACAGCTGGACGCTGTGCAGCACTTCCTATCACCAACGCACATTCCTTCGCGGGAAGGCCCTGAACATGCATCATTCTATTGACTTCATTTCAAAAACACGAGCTCATTTTTATTTCTTGAAAAAGTTTCTCGGGCCCAAAATCTATTGTTACTGGAAAGCATCACTGCCATAGGCACTTGCCATTATCGATATGGAATGAGAATGAAGTATGGACCCTATCTGTGGAACAAAAATGACTTGAAAATGTATCGAAAGACTTTATCATCAACCAACACGACTGGAGTCGAAGTCTTTCTGTTAATCATGAAGTGACATTGTCTAAAACTGTAAATCGGCGTATGAATACTCAGTAAGTGTATAAGATTATTCTCCACGCGTTTTGTCAAGAGAAGAAGAGAAGAAGATCGTGTGCAGACCACACACCATAGACGACGGCCAAAAAAAGCCGCTTTTCTCTTGGTCGTCGTGTCTTATGATGTGAACTGAACTCGATTTTCTTCTCGTCTTCCGAAATGGAGTTTTCTTCTGACCATGATAAACCCTAGCGTTGATAGTTTTTATGAATTTTTTATGAACACCCTTTCAGGCATTTGCTACGACTCCTCTATATAAGACGTGTTCGTGTGCAAACATTCGATGTCTAGAAACATTTATTTGTGGCCATAAAATCCCGTCATGCAATAAACTATGCCTAAATGTGATCAGTCGCCGCAAACAGCGCCTACTCTTCAAGATGACCGCAATCTTTGAAACTTATCCTATGAACGAGGGTTGATACGGGATTATAAATATCATGAGAAGGTACCGAAGCGACTAAAAATCACTCAACAAAATTTTTCTTATGACGCACTTCACTTGATGTATATTTTGGGTTTTCTTCAACCTCTGACCCACTAGACTAATTCCAGTTTTCTTATCTATTCACTGCCACTTTTTCATTTGTCTCGATAGCCTCATCAAACGGAAATGCTACGAAACTTAACATGATACTGACGATGAGGCGAATTTTGCCTTGTTAATCGCCTCTAGGACTCCAATACTCTCAGCAAACGGATTGGTTGAATGTATTTAGAGTTGGCAACGGAGAGTAGAATGTAATGGTTTTATTACGTACGGAACTGTTGTAGCAGAGTTGAGATATACAGATTTGAATTTCAGGGTCAAAAAGGCAGGAACTTTCCTTGCAACTTAATACTACAGTACAAGAGTCTTGGTCCCAGTAACAGGACGGCCCTCTGTGCAGGGTCAACCGCCCATTGCGCAAAGAACTACGAGGGCGTCGTATACGGTCGAACGAAAGGGGAGGGGGTCGTATCTAGAGAGACGGGGCTCACGCTCTAATGTTCTCCAGAAGCTCTGCACCGTGCAGCTGTCGGAGAGTCACACAGACAAGAGTTCCATGGAAGCATCAGAGCATGCAGAGCATTATAAGTCTCATTGTCAGCCATTGTTATCCTTAATACACGGACGGCGCTTTCACTCGACAGCATAGATCAAGATTACAATAGCCAGAAACTTGTTACAGCGTAGTGCAAAAACATGGTCTCTCTTCGATGATCGAACATTCCTGAAATCCCAAGGAGAACAAAGTGTAAAGCAGTTCATGGGGAAGTGAAACAAGAGTACCATAAGACAGTACATTGCAACTTAGTCACGGTACTAACACCTTCAGGAAAATGGAGGACTTCCAAATGCGATTTTTTACAACAGACAAATTCACAGCGTATACCCGGGCAGGCATTTTCCCATAAAAACGCCTTCTCTGTCAGAGGCCGTGAGCAGACAAAGTTTCTGAAGAGAATTTCGATGCTTTCAAAGCAAGTCTAAGCGAAACAAAGTGTAGCGAATTTGCTGAATTGAATTCTAGAAAACCCTCAGGAAAATTGAGGCAGAAGGAGGAATTTCAGGAAAATTCTACATCTGTTATGCAGTACTCTTCGAGTAAATTCTAACAGTCTTTACCGCTCCTCATCACCTTGATTTTGAAAAAAGTTATGGGCCTTTAAAGACTGCATAGTCGCGGTCCAGGAAAATGACTTGAAAAAAAAAATCATGGTGAAAAAAGGAACAACGGGACTATTTTTTGAGCGAGTGATTATATAAAAAAAAAGTTTTAGCACCTATTCGGAATCACAAATCTTCTAGTCCCCAATTAGCCTTAATTATTTGCGAAATGTTGATTATAAAGAAATTTGTGAACGTTTGAATGCCAAAAACTCACGCCTTCTCAAAAATCGGACCACAAACTCTCCAAAAACGGAACAACGGGACAACTAAAAAACGAGTAGAAGAAAATTATTTAGCTATTTATTTCTGAGGAAAAGAGTTGTTTGACTTTCGGAAACTCGCCTGTGCACAAAAAACGGAACAACGGGACGATTTTTTGAAATATAGAACATTCGTAATATTCCAAATACTTTTTGAGAAGGAACTATTTGAATGTTTAAAATTTTGGAGTGTTTGGTTTAATAATGGAAGCATTTTCATGGAACGGAATGGAACGGATTGGTTGGTAGCTTTCGTGCGCTAAAATTTTGCCGTTTCACATTTGATATATACCCCCCGCTCGACGGAAAGTTTGGAGGGGAAAGTGGGCGGCGTTAGGCTGCGTCGACTGTTCTCAGAATCAAATGCTATAGAATCAGGCGAAGGCGAAGGTGGTGATTGTTACCGGGGGAGCCTCCTGAGTCTAATGGTGGTAGAGGAGAGTCGTGAAGGGTTGACCCTGAGGGGGGTCGTATCTAGGCTCTCTAGAAGGGGGAGGGGGATCGTGAAATTTTCGCAACTGGTCCAACGTGACGGATGAACCTGACAGCAAGCTCGGCCCGATACCCCACACACATTGCCATCTCGACCAGCACCACCAACTACGCTCTGAATTTTCTCCTAAATGGCCATAGTGAGGTGAGCATATAAGAAATTTCTGCGACATGTATGAAGTTTGGAGGATAGCTGGCAACCTCATGTGAGTCTCCCTTCTTGTCTAACAACACAGTTCTGTTGTATTACACATTGGAGAGGGGTGGGGTGGGACACCTCGCATTCTATTCTAGCAAGAACGGCTTGAAGAGCCGGAACCAGAGTTTTGACAACAGGTGACGGTCAGGTCTTCTGGTCGTGTGCTTTGACTCTTTCGGCTAGATTCTGCACGATTCTTCACTGAGGAAGCAGAGTTTAGACGTCGTCTTGAGGAAGAAATTAGGGGTCGACATATTCATGCTTGTATGTGTAGAAATAGAGAACGGCTCTCTCTATTACCCCTTAGTAAGTGAAGGATTTTCCGTCATGGAGTTGGAAGCCGATAAATTTTGTTTTGTGATCAGGAAAGCTTCGGTGTTCGGCACGGATGCCTTTGCAGCCTCTGGTGCTTCTGCTAACATTCTTGCTCTGCGCTTTGAGATTTCCTTTCACCTTTCTGGACAACCTTGCATGCTTTGTAGTGTTAGTCGCCTGCAGCTCGTGTGTTTCCACGCTGGCTGATCAGCTCATATGTTCTTGGCATGAGAAGTCCAGATTCTTTGCTTCCCAGCATTATCGTGAAGTTGTTTTACGACTTGAATCTTTGCCCCTCGCCGATGTTTTGCAAACGAGATCCTCCCATAAGGCGGCCGAAGAGTTGAAGTTATCCCATTCAGGATCAGTTGTCCGCCTGATCGGCTCGGCGGGGACGTGATTGCATTAGATGCATTATTGATTCTCGATGCTTCCCACTTCTGAATCGAGGCCAAATCGATGAGCTATGATACACATATACATATACATGATACATAATACCATGAGCTTTTAAGAAATTATTTGAAGCACTGCTTTCAAAATATTGCACAAATGCAAATGCGAGTGTGGGACACTCGAGCCTTTTCTGACATCACTACAACACAAATTTGTAATTGCAATTTGAGCCTAGAGAGGGATAAACTCGGGTGGTTACGCCATATTCATCCCGCTTAACTCCCTCTTCCTCTCAGGCTTATGCTTAGATGCCTCTTGCTTCACAGGACTTGCAAACCGAAATGAATATGCTAGAGCGAATGAATATGTCTAGAGTCGCGAACAAAGTCCCATCCTATACCGAACTGAAGAAGTCTAGCATGGCTAAGAGCATCGTCATGTTGAACGGATATCAGTGCTCTGGGTCAATACGACAAAAGAATCTCACTACTCCGACAGTCCTCAAATGAACACCTTCTGACAAGGTTACTTTTTGTTTGTATGAGCAAGTGAGCAGATCTGTTCGATCAATTGTGCATCAGTGCGGTCTTCAAGACGATGTAAGGATTGTCGAAATACCTCCATACACCTTCAAAGGCATCTTTTTCTCAATCGACTCTATGCTATAGTATACGACACTCCTAGCTTTGTGATATGCCCTACAGCAAGGAAGGTGACTGCATGAAGGTGGGAGTGATCTACTCGATACGTTGTCGGAGGTGTAGAAGGAAGTGAGTATACAGGATAAACAGGCCGCTCCTAGTGCATAGGGTGCGGGTTAAGGAACATGCAGATGGGCTGGGTAGTCACAACCGCATACTTTCTTAGGAGCGCATCAGACTTTATACCACGCAGATTCGTCGTTTGGCGACTCAGTGCCCATATTGGCTTTGGAACCCGAGATTGCGATGCGCAAGTTGGAAGCATTCTGGATTACTGCTAAAGACCCTCAAATGAACAGGAAAGTGGATTGTGTGGCCATAACCCGCGAACTCACGAACCATTCCTCGACGTTAACCCATGATCTACTAGTAGGTAGTGATCTACTAGTAGTTACCACATTCTAAATTTAGTAGGAGGGTGGTCGTCTTTTTGTCTTAGTGACAGAGTTTAAGGTAAGCAATCCCATGCCTCTAACGATTGATGTTGGGTTGGTCCATAATACATGCAACAAACTGGCACTGCAACAAATTGATTTTAATATTTTCATTATCTTATTGTTCCATTCATCCGGCATAATACACTATATCAATATCTGCAACCTATTGCCAACGCACTGGAAGCTGTTCGATGCTGCTCTTGTAGAACTCCACAGAGTTCTGATCAAAGAGAGATCAGATGTCGATTTTGACATTATTATGA